AATATTGATTCAAAGGAGAAAATCTGCAGGTAAAATGAAAAACAGAGTGAGGTCTATGATTTGATAGATTCACGGGTAACACTTGTGTGGTGCCACGAGGAGCGGGTATGATAACATTTCCAGTCGTACTTAAGGTGACAGACGTGCATAAGGCTTTATCCCATGAGCTCTAAAGTAGCTGGCTTGCAAATTGAGGTGCCAATGTCATTTGTGAATAATTTGGGTGTCACCGTAATGGCTTATTTGAGTTTATCGATGCGACTCAACTTCCAAGCAACTTGGTTGGCTTGTCTGCAATGCTCGCGATGCTTGCAGTTGAGGCCTGCTGGTTCTTATTTGTTTGTGGTTCTTTAGCCTTATAGACTTTTGTTGTAAACCTTTGAAATGGGATCCAAAAGTCTACCTACAAGAAGTCTAAGGGCTTGCTAAAGGGGTGCTTGGCATGATGAAAATGAGGGTCATTGAGTGGAGGGCTCTACGTTGGCGTGACAATGGTTTGGAAAGATACATTTGAGAGAAGAAAAAAATGGGCGACAATTTAATTTTGTATCTTTCATGTAAGTTTTGATAGTATTCAATGGTTGATGTTTTTGTTCTTGAATGGTTCTCAAATACCATGTACAATTCTTTGGTGAGGAGAGCAAAATAAAAGAGCAAGTAGTAGGAGAAGTCTAATTGTTAGATTGTAAGTTAATTGAAGAAGCAACAATATTTTAACTTTGGAAATTGTAGTGTTGTTTGTAGAAGTTGGAGGTTCATTTTGCATTTGCATGAAGGAGCCTTCTCTATTTTAATGGTGGATAAAGCATGCACTAGTGCTTGTTCTGCTTGCTAATGGTTTTTTCTTTGTGAGAGGGAGTGGGTCAAGAGAGATGATGGAAGGTTCCTTGTAAATACTAAACTATTTTAGGATTTGCATGTTGATAGCTAGCATTTGATTTGCTATTGCACTGTCACTAGACATACTGACACCAAGCCCGTCTTATGTTAAGTGTGGATTCTACCGAAAGTGGACCTCCTTTTTAGGAAAAAGGATGGGTTCCGCCGACTTGAATTACTCTCCTCCAGAGGGTAATCGGTTGTGGTGAGTCATTGTAAGGGGATACTTCTGGAGAAGACAAGGTATTGGTCAAGGATGACTTGAACTCATTTAGAGATTCGAGTTCTCAAGGCAAACTTCCCAAATAAAGTAATTGAAAAAAGATGTCATCCCCTAGGCCAACTAGATGAACTTGTTAAGAAGGATGAGTTCTCGGGATGAAATTGTGGGGGCAAGTTCTTTAGAATTAGAATTTTAGTCCTAGGGCTGACTAGATGAACTTATAGAGAAGGATGAGGTCTTAAGATGAAAGCATAGAGGTTACTTCCTAAGAAAATGATTCTATCTTTAAAATTTTCAGGTGAAATGTACAAGAAGAGATGACTACTATGATGAGTTATGGAGACATTATTTTCTAGTGAAAATTCATGGAGAGGTTGTTAAGTGGAGGCAGTTCCCGTGAAAAAGTTTTTGGGACACTAGTTTCTCTGGAGAAGTCATTGAGTTATTGAGAAGAGGCAACTTTTCGGGACAAGTTGTTGAGATGCTATATTCATGGGCCTCCTAGTGTGGGTGATTAGCTTAAATGACCAATTTAATTGAATTTTTGAAGAAAAATCATTATCTTTGGAAAAGTTATTTAACTTAGATATATTATTTATTTTTAAACAAATTGTCGAGAGGTTCACAAAAATATGACTCTTGAGAATCATCTTCAAGATTGGCAACTTCACAAGGAGGGTGGTTGACCAAGGCTGATTGAAATGGGTCACTTTAGAGAAAGATGCAACTTTTTGATACAAATTTTTGAGATACTAGTTTCTTAAAATAAGTTTACAAGAAGATGTAAGAATGATATTATCTTTAAAAAATTGACTTAGTAGTGCGCCAATTTTGGTGTGAAGTTGAAGAAATCAAACTTCCACATTGGTCTTGGTGTTGTATAACCCAAGAGGAATAGAATGGTGCCAACCAAATAGGGAGGATTACAAGTTGTTGTAACAAACCAACTCTTATCCATCAAGATATTGTCCGCCTTGGCTTAATAGTTTCATGATTTTGTTATGTTGGTGAAAGTTCAAAGGTCGCCTATCACATGATTTCCTCTACACGAGCATGCTAAACTTTGAAGTTTTTGATAAATTGTCCGCCTTGGCTTAATAGTTTCATGATTTTGTTACGTTGGTGAAAGTTCAAAGGTTGCCTATCACATGATTTCCTCTGCACGAGCACGCTAAACTTTGAAGTTTTTGATAAATTTATAATATTTGCACCAAATGGCGCCTCAATGTTTAAGAGTTCAACTTCATTCTACTTAAGGGACTTCGCATTCTCCCCCACTTAAATAGCTAATGTTCTCGTCAGTTTCTTAGCTCATAATCTTCTACCAAACAAATAAGATTCTGAAGGTGGCCATTATAGATTTATGAGATGGCTTTCACTTTGTAGCACTTTGTCCCATTTAGGGCTCAAGAGGTGGCTCCTTTGGTGCATTGTTATGTATGGAATGTAATTCCCATCTTTAGGCTGGTGCAGCTCTAATATTATTTGTAATAGCATGAACTTTCATCCATGGAGATATTGTCTGCTTTGACCTAATGATCTCATAATTGTCTCATTAGTGTAATTTCCTAAGAGGTCTCCCATCCATCCCATGAGTACTTAGGCCCGAGCACTCTTAACTTAAGAGTTTTTGATGAAATTTTAATAGTTAACCAAATGTACCTCAATATTTAAGAGTTAAGCTTCATTCTATTTAAAGGGTTTCACAGTTGCCTCTAGTTTGCTCTCAAAGGATCTAAAGGTCGAAAGCAGGTCCTAACTTTGCTTAAGGAGAATCTTAACAAAACGGTGTCTAGAGGGCAAGATTTGAATAAAAGGACTTTCGAGTGCTAAGAAAGAGCTCAACATGGCAAGATACTTAGAATCTCTTTCTTTTGTAAAACATCTAAAAACTTTATGAGCAAGATTAAACTTTCGTATATATTCTACTAAGGTAATATGAAGTATTAACATTTTTTTTATAAATCTACTACGTATAAAAAATAGATTCATACGATTTCATGTATTTTTACTCTTGTTTAAGTTGATTAACTATAGCATTACAACCTCATAAGTAATTTCATAGATAATGATTAATTATCCATACTTCTTAAATTGCTTTTAAGGTGGAGGCTTTTTTATAGTCAACTAGCTTGATTTTGTAATAGTGATCATATTTTTAGAGTTAAGCTTGTATCAGCTTGAGTCCACTTATCAAATGGCTTTTCAACCTAAACCCTAACCATTTTAGTAAGGGTTTGCGTTGAATAAGAAAGTATATTTTGAAGCCAACTATTTTTTCCTTTTAGATATCTACTAATACTTATTTTTAATAATCGAAAGGAACATGATTTGAAAATTTTGGTTTATGTGACTGGTCTTTTGGTGTATTATTGTTAAACAACTTATTTGTTTGATGAATCTACTCTTAGTAGTTGTGCCAAATATTGAACTCTTGCTTAGATTCAATTAATGGGTAAGATGCATTAAGAGAGGAGGTGAATTAGTATTTTAAAAACGTTTTCTAATCACAAATTCTATGTTTGATAAACAAAATAATTATTATAAGTAGAAAAAGTGCAAGTAATGATAGAGAACAAAAAAATAATTTATACATGGTTTGATTCAACCGGCCTACATCTATTGCTAATTCCTATTTGATTAGGATTCTAGTAATCCTAACTGCTAAGTGCCAAACAACTTAGCTCTTGGAGTTGGTGGGGAAATCGACATGCAATCACGCTTGATAGGGGAGTTTGCCCCAAACAATTGTTTCAATACTAACAAACACTAAATCTTTATAGACTTGGCAAGCACTAAATATAGTGAGGATGTAAAAATGTAAACAAAATTTACTTATAATGTTTGGTCTTTGGAGAAAGATTGATGCTTTATGAAAGCTTTGCAAAAAATATCAAACCATGCGGCTTTTTTCTCTTGTTCTACCTCTAGGAATTCGCTTGAAGGTTTGCAAATGATGTTTGGGATGAACAAAATGAAAAAAGTGTAAGGAAATTGGAGCCTCCATCCCCTCTCAATGCTTTCGAAAAGGGGTATATATAAATAAGCTTCACCCAGGTTTATACATGGTTAAGACCAAGTTCCAATAAAATTTGAAAAATTTTGAGCTAAGAATTTGCTTATCGGACAATTAAGTGTATTTCATGATCAGTTCAAATTTAGAAGAATTTTATACTAATAATACGTATTATTGACTGATTGTATGCATGATCCCAAACTAGGTATTTGGGCATGAAGTTATGGAAATCCACTTTAGTGACTATAATTATGGAAACAGAGATCTTCTAATGGCTTGTCTCCAGTGGATTGTTTATGTCCGATTGAATGTACGGCTCTGAGATCTTATGTATAGCCTTGAGATCATATTAATGATTGAGATTGTCTAGATAATTCTCTATAGATGAAAACATTTATGAAAATTAGGTTCAAAATCACCTGTCCTTGTCTAAATAACCACCCAATGATTTAAGCTGTTTTTTGTAATCTTTTCAAAGTAAGTTGGATTACTTGAACATAAAATTTTTATTATTTATTTTACATATGAGAAAGTATCTCGATAGCCATGGGGTTATATATTTATTGTAACTAGAATATTAAAAGAAAATTAAATGAGTTAATTATCTGTCTTTATTAATTATTTTGAGTCTATCTTCCAATCCTTCTTGACATCATAGTTGCTAATAATATTTCTAATTTTAATCATTATCACTGTAATCATTTCATTGAAATATCGGTTACTCCGATCATTTATTTGTTATCATCACAATATGGCTTGTGGTTAACTTCAGATCATATGTTGCCTTATTAGATTAGCATTTACATCGGCTTTTTTGTAATTATATTAAAAAAACATTGATTTTGGGTTCTGATACATGAATGTTTTTATTAAATCCCGCAGGAGAAATTCGTCTAGCCATGTCACTTTCTCAGAAGAATTCTTGTGATGGAACACCTCCTTGGTCTTCTTGGGTAGATCTAACATCAAATTCAGATAAATCCTCAGAACTGAAACGAGAAATACCATCAGTAGAATCCAGTAGTAAAATGGACTCTTATGCTGTATCTGAGGATGAAGAAGTCAATCTTGATATAGAAGAGAAGTTGCGTGGTCAATCATTGCGTGAGAGAATGTCTAAGATTTTTTCTAGGAAGAATGTGAGCATTTCAACATCCTCAAGTAAAGATTCTGATATCACTGAAATAAACCAAGAGAAACCACTAAATCTCGAGCCTGATGAAACACTGTTACCTGATAATTTTTCTGAGTCTTTGAAATTCTTGAAGTCAAAAGAACAGGGAAGTGAAGTACCAGAAAATTTACCTGGGGGAGTACTTCTTGACAAGCATTATGCAATCTCCCCAGCTGTGCTGAACTCTCTTATCTTCTCACCTGATTCAAAACTTTTACAATCCTTAGCAGATGTTCAGGGAACTACTGATTTATGTATGGAACCCTGGAAATTTGAAAATGGCGGAGAGAGCCTGAAAAGAGTGCTCACCTACATAAAAGCTGCAACTAAATTAGTTAAAGCAGTGAAAGCTACAGAGAGTCAGACTTATCTAAAGGTTGATGATAGAAACTATGCTGTTTTAGCAAGTGTGAGTACTCCTGATGTTCCGTTTGGTAGTTCTTTCAGGTGTGAAGTTTTGTACTGTATAATGCCTGGTCCTCAATTGCCATCTGAAGAGCAATCATCTCATTTAGTGATTTCATGGCGCATTAATTTTCTTCAGAGTACAATGATGAAAGGTATGATTGAAAATGGTGCAAAGCAAGGCCTGAAAGAAAACTTTGTTCAATTTGCTGAGGTGTTATCTCTGAATGCTAAAACTCTTGATTTGAAAGATGCTGGATCCAGAAAAGAGCAGATTTTGTCTTCTATGGAGACCGAGCCAGAGTCTGAATGGAAGTTGGTGTGTAGAATTTTTGGCAATTTCACTATAATATCCTTCATATTGGCTGTTTTGTGTGTTACTGTGCATATACTACTTGCAAACCGTAGTTCAATACAGGGGCTTGAGTTCATAGGCCTAGATTTGCCAGATTCTATTGAAGAAGTAATGGTCTGTGGAGTCTTGTTTCTCCAAGGAGAACATGCTTTAAAGAGGATAGGTCATTTTCTGCAGGCAAGGAGGCTAAGAGGTTCAATTTTTTTTTTACTTCGAATTTGGATGATAATCAATATAAGCTCTTAAAAAATTTCTACGTTTAATATTTCTGTAAGTCCTGAGAATGCATTTATTACTTTAACATGAGCTGGGACTTACAATCTTAGAATTTTATATGCATTCATCACTCTTAAATGAACTAGGACTGCTATTTATGCATGGAACTGTGGAGACTTGACCATCACAGAATTTTATATTCATTATTCATGAATTATATTCTAACGGATATTCTTTGCTGCTAAGTTAGTATTCTTGTTAGAAAGTAGGCCTTGCCAAAGGGGCTTACTACTTTGCAACTGCATATTAAAAGAGAGGCAAGTAAGTTGTGATCATTGTTGATCTTTTGCCGAATATTAGAATATTTAACATTTGCTTCAACAAAATGTGCACAACTCGTTCCTGCAGTAAGCAAATAATTTGCAGCATGCTTGAACACTAAATAATCCTTTATAGCTCTAACACATTTTGCATTCATGTTGGTTTACTTTTTCAGGCATTTTTTCTTCTAGTATTTTGGAAAATAAAGGAAAATTTCTGTGAAATATTGTATTATTTTCCAATATAACTTTAGATTTTGAGTTTTTTTTTTTCTTTTCCTTTCATACAGGGAATGATCATGGAGTAAGAGCTGAAGGAGATGGTTGGTTGCTAACAATTGCTTTGATCGAGGGAATTAATTTTGCAGCAGCTGATTCATCTGGTTACTCTGATCCATATGTAGTGTTTACCTGCAATGGCAAGAGAAAGACAAGCTCAATTAAATTCCAAACTCTGGATCCTCAATGGAATGGTGATTCAATGACCTTTCACTTCTCCTTCTCTTCTTCATTTCAGATTGACATTTTGATTTCGTCATTGTTACAATTTACAGAAATTTTTTATCTGTAATCATAGGCCCAAAGTTTGTTATGCTTATTAAGGCTACCTTTAAGTTGTGAATAAAACTTTTTAAGTTTTTTAGATTGTGGCACCTTCAAAAGCGTTCATGCCTTATTCTACGATTTCTCATTACAATAGTTCAAATTTAGAAAAAGATCAATGACTAGTTGCTGCGTTGTGGATATTTTCGTAATACAACACAACACAATGTAGAGGTTAATTTGTCTTCGATAAAATCCCTTCAATCTTGATTTGTAGCCGATGCCAAGTATTCCTGCATAAGAAAATTATCTTTGGTTATGTAAGATAAAGGGCAGTTATGTACAAAAATAACCTACAGGAAGGTTAAAACTAATTCTCAATAGAAAGTGACTTTTGCAACCTCAAATTTATCAAAATCAGCGCTTCCATATTTTCTTAATATAAAAATGTATTAGAATTACTAACCACTTATTATCCTCTCCATATTTACAGAAATATTTGAATTTGATGCAATGAATGATCCCCCATCTACAATGGACATTAAAGTGTTTGATTTTGATGGACCTTTTAATGAAGCTGTTGCCCTGGGCAATGCTGAAGTCAATTTTGTGAAGAATAATCTATCAGAACTGGAAGATGTATGGATTGCCTTAGAAGGAACATTAGCCCAGGCATGCCAATCTAAGTTGCATCTGAGGATCTTTTTAAGCAACACACGAGGAGACCGAGTTGTCTCGGACTATCTAACAAAGATGGAGAAAGAAGTTGGTAGAAAGGTGAGATATATTGCAAATTTGATGTGCATTTTTCTGAAGTTTGAAATTAATAGCTTACTTTCTATATGTCAATGCACAGATAAATTTGCGTTCACCTCAGACAAATTCAGCTTTCCAGAAGCTATTTGGTCTGCCACCCGAAGAGTTTCTTATCAATGATTTTACTTGTCACTTGAAGAGGAAAATGCCGTTACAGGTTATTTATTTATAGAAATGGACAAGCATATGAGCCATTTGCACACTAAATTAGAATGTTATCATTGAAATCCCTCAAATAGAGTATATAAATTCTTGTAATTTCTAATTGACAAGGTTCATATCAGACTGGTGCTTTCTTATTGCAGGGTCGTTTGTTTCTATCTCCAAGGATTACTGGATTTTACACAAATCTCTTTGGACACAAGACAAAATTTTTCTTTCTATGGGAAGATATTGAGGACATTCAAGTTATTCCTCCCTCTTTGAAATCAATGGGAAGCCCTTCTCTTCTGATTATTCTTCGCTGTGGTAGATGCTTAGATTCAAGGCATTGGGCAAAGTCAGTAGACCCAGATGGAAAGCTAAAATTCCACTTCCAATCATTTGTTTCTTTCAATGTGGCTAACCGGTATTTGTTCCTGCCTTTTCTATATTCTTCTTTTGCTGTGCTTAGAACTTCAAGTTGATAGGAAAGGAGTCATTAATATAACTATGGCAATGAGACAATTTAGCTAAGCAAACTTGTTTATCATTAAACTGAATATTTTCTTTACACAATTAGCTAGACAGTTTGGACCATTTATTGCATGAAAGTGTTTTCGTATGAAAAGGTTTTATGATTTCTGTAATATCTTTGTTAAGTGACAAGAAATATTTGCTGTCCATATTTTGTCGTCCAGTGCGACAGTTTTTGATATTAAAATACATGAACGAAAAGTGAAACTAACATCTATATCCATATACATATACATACATACATATATATATATATATAGATACATCTATATATAGATACATCATTTAACCATCATATTTGAGAAGGTCTATTATGAGAGAATTACTAGTTATAAGAAATTGGCATGAAGAAATTTAGCTCTTAATGAGTAAAATTCATTTAATATTCATAATCCACTAATAAGTGTTCATATCAATTTCAATAGGTCTTCCTGATTATGGCTGTAAACGAGCCCAGGTCGTGTTCGGCTCGTTTATATTCTGAGCTCAGAAAGTGTGTTCGTGTTCCGCTCGTTTGCTTATCGAGCCGAACACGAGCTGTTCACGAACAAAGAGTCATTTTGACACACCAAATCACGTAGCTATAAGATGTTAAGGATTGGGGCAAGATTTAAAAGATTATTTGAATCTAATTTAATCATTTTTATTTTATTTTCTTCATTAATACTTTTAATTGATTATAAATCTTTGTAGCCTTATAGTCATCAAAGATACATATATAATTGATTAGTAGTATTTCTAGCCAAAATGAACTGAACACAAACGAACAAATATTTGTTCTTATTGTTCATGTTCGGATCGTGAACTTAACGAACGAGTCAAACACTAGTTGTTCACGAACAACGAGCCGTTTTGACAGCCCTATTCCTGATTAATATTTTTTCTTGCTATATATATATATATATATATAGATATACAGATAAAGAGAGAGAGCTCTTATTTGATCTAGTACTTTTACATGTTTAGCTCATTTAGCGAACAAGATGAAAATCTCATTCAAGTTGAACTCGCTTAGTGATCAAGCTGAGAAACGACTATCCAGACTAACCAGAGTTATTCATGATCATTGACCTGCTTTGGCAAACCAACGTGAGCGTTTGTAATAAGTGTTTACAACCAGCTTGATTTCCAATGCCAATATGTTTATGATGATACTCTAATCACCTATCAATTCCTTAATTCACTGATCTGCTAAAACCTACATTAGATATCTAACCTTCTCGATGTAGCAGGCTAATCATGGCACTATGGAAGGCAAGGTCCCTAAGTCCTGAACAGAAGATGAAGATAGCAGAAGAAGAATCCGAAGATAACAACCTCCAATCTGAAGAAAGTGGATCATTCTTCACCATAGAAGATGCTAAAATGTCTGAAGTTTTCTCCTCCGTTGTTCCTGTACCTGTGAGTCAACATTCTCTCTTGTTCTTAGTATGTTCTTGAAGATGACATTAGAAGGGCCTGAAATTTGATCATTTCCCTTATTATTTTCTGGTCTCTTTGCAATGATCAGATGAAGTCACTCTTAGAAATGTTTGGAGGAGGCTGTCTGGAGCAAAAGCTGATGGAAAAAGTTGGCTGTGTTGATTACTCTTTCACGCCATGGGAATCTGTCAGATTGAACGTGCACCAGAGGCAGATCCACTACAAATTTGATAAGAACATCTCCCGTTATGGTGGAGAGGTAACCAGTACACAGCAAAGATCTCATCTTCATGATAAAAATGAATGCATGATCGAAGAAGTCATGACACTCCAAGGTGTTCTTCTCGGCGATTACTTCACTGTGAGGAAAACATAAACATCTCTTTCTCTTAGGTTTTGTTTGGGATCACTTGTTTTTTATTTTTGCTTTTATTTTAGTGCATTTTTGTATTTTTTGTTTTAAAAATAAATTAATTTATTTTTAAAAATACTCAAAACATCTAAAAGTTGTTCTGAATGCTTTTAAAAACAAATAAAGATGTTATCTATACCAAACTTTTTTTATTTTTAATAAAAATAAAAAACGAAGAGCAGAAGTGATCCCCAACAGCTCCATAGATATTAGAATGCATTTAAGATCGCCTTAGCTCAGTTTTATATTTTTTTAATAGTTTTGATCTCTTCTTCAGCTTCATTTGAGATATCAGATTGGTGATCTTCAATCCAAATCGAAGGCATGTCTTGTCCAAGTATTGTTAGGCATTGCTTGGTCTAAAAACACCAAGCATCAGAAGAGGATAATGAAGAATGTTATTTCCAACTCATCACTTCGTCTCAAAGAGATGTTTCGTTTGTTCACAAAAGAGTTTTCCATGGAAAAATGAAAGTTTTCCAACATTTACTCCCTTATAACATCATGAATAACAGCTGGTGGAGTCTGATTAGTTTTTAGCACTATTAAACCTGAACGGTTTTGCTTTTGAGAATGAGACAAAAAATCAAAAGTCTCCTTTTAGTTTTTTTTCTCTCTCTAGGAAGTAGATTCACATGTACATTGGTTATGTATAGAAAAGACTAACTTTTATAATCCCTTTCTGAACTGTTGGCAGAGATCAAACTGATCAGATTTTGCAGTTTTTAGTTCAAAATTGAAGTTTGAACTCATTTAACATATACTTTGATGTAAAGAGCTAGCAAAGCTCAACCTGTTTATTTGAAATACCAATGTAACATCCTTTATTGTCATAAAACTTTAGCATGCAATTCTGATCATATAATGTTGAAGATTTACCTGCCTTCACAAGAATGCCAAATACTCATCTATCTCGAAGCCTTACCTAGTATAATGCATGTTGAAGCTAGGTGTAATCTAATTTATTTCAAATTTATAAGCAATAAATTAGGGACATTTACATGCATATTATTGACATATCAAATACTGAAGCTTTGATATTTATGTGCATGATACCCAAATTTTTGACATTACATTAAAAATATCATTATTATGAACATTTTAAAAGTGAAATATATTTTTTTGGAATATAGGCTTATGACATCAAAGAACTGTAAATTTTGCAGGGGAGAAGAATGCAACAGTACCAGAATCAAGTTAGCATATTAGTTGGAAATAAAATAAAAAATTATAATATGTTGTACTGTGAATATTTTGGGATATGTTGAACAGTTAATATCATAATGATAAATATGTTATTTTGAGCTCTTATTTAGGCCAGATTAACATCCATATCATTAAATATTAATAAATTTGTATGGCCAATAGATGCAAGAGAATTTGATCGATAAATGCTTGAAATTTGCCTTTTATAATTTCGCTTTTGATTTGTTATCAAGGCAGAACTCATCCCTGTTGTTTTGAAAACTATAGGTGTTGCTATTATAAATACCGGACAAAAAGTATTATTGCTGCTTGGAAGGCAGCTTGCAGTGATCGATTTGGACACTTACTCCTATGGAAGGGAGGAAGAAAGTTCCTTCAAATTTAAATGTGATGTTGATGGAAGCTTGAAGGGAATCATTTGTTTGGGACCTAAAAGTAATCATATTTCATTCAAATATATATATATTTTATTAAGGCAATGCATGAGGTTTATAATCTTGGTTTCTCTATTTTTGTTGGATATGCCATTGGGCTGTGTTTATCTTCTTTGGAAGATTTACATACATGCGACATAATTCCTATGTATTTACATAGCTGACACTTAAAATTTGATTTTTACATTAAGAGCACCTTAGCTTGCTTCGAAGGGTATATTTCACTTCTAAGAAGTTAGTGATATGAAATTTTAGACGTGATAAGAAAATTTTGTGTTAGAAATGTAAAAAGTAAAGTTTTGGTGTTAGATATATAAATTCATAAAAATTGTGTGGGATGTTTGCAAAGGCCCCTCCTTTTTTATAAAGACAATATGCATTGTAAGACCTGAAAAAAATTTTACGTAGTTTAAGCTCATTGTAATTAGAAATGTAAAAAATAAAGTTTTGGTGTTAGATATATAAATTCATAAAAATTGTGAGGGATGTTTGTAAAGGCCCCTCCTTTTTTTTTTAAAGACAATATGCATTGTAAGACCTGAAATAAAATTTTACGTAGTTTAAGCTCATTGTAAGGATCTTGCTCCACAAACATTGAAAGCAAGATCTTCCATGCATGATAATGGTATGGTAGATACAGAAGCTAAAGTAGCGAAGACATTTTCTAATATGATTACTGATTTAATATTTAGAAATGTTTAAAACTAAAAATATTTTCTCTTATTAACCGTCAAAATAATAGATTAAAAGGACAACATTATTATTTATTTATATTAAAAATATTTTAAATCATCATTTATTTAATAAAATAGTTTTACATTACCTTAAAAGGGGGAAAAACCATAAAGCTATATAGGTGAGGTACATACTAGACTATATGGACCTAACTAGTCTGATATATATATATATATATATATATATATATAATTAAGCACACTGGATAGTAATGGACAAATCCTTCAATTTCATCATTGTCAAATCTATAGTGGTGTGCAGGCACTTGTCAAACTTGCTTCATCCAATAATAGCCTTTTGGATTTTAAAAAGTTAGGAAAATATATTGTTAAGTTTATTTACCATACTGCCAGCTTGAGATAATCCTATATTACAATATATTACACTAGGCCGAGCAAGTAATTATAATTTGCTCAAGATCTCCTTCAAATTCATTATATTATTTAAGTTTTATTTCACAGAGCGACAAATTCAAAAAATTATAACAATATAGCCAATTTATCATCTAATATTCATATAAATATATCAAATTTCTTCCGTTCAAAATTCTTCTGTATAATAATCATAATACTTCAATAAATTTGATAAAATATATCTGGCCCATTATTACAAAAGAGTACAATATGAATAACTAAAAAGCATCTCATTCAACAAGAATAAAGTCGTCACTCCACATAAAATTCAACCGACTCTTGTTTATAATCTCACAAGAATTTTCACCATTTCTTTTTCTTCCATAAATGACAATTCCTCCTTTAAATCCAAATTCAAGACAAGATATTTCTATGCTTACATAATTTTATGCATAATTCTCACTTTTTTTAGCAAGGTTTAAATTAAAGAGGAGTTACATGAATAAAATCGTAATGAAAAATAATTTAAATTCCAAATTCAAGAAGATTGAAATTTGAACATCATTATTCTCTGTCTTAGATAAGACATAATTTAAGGAAGAGTTGCACCACTCTCATCTCTTTTGAATCAAAGCATGAACAATGAAGGAGTCACACTTACACCGCATTATCATAAACTTTCTAAATCTCAAGAAGGAGCATATACATGCATGCTAAATTTTGGCTTTCTCTTTGTCATTTGAGCTAATGCTTAAAAAATGGAGGACTTACAACAAAGAAAATATAATGAAATATGTTGCATTTCAAATTAACAAACTACCCCAAAACTCTTTATTGACATATTTTATTCATGTCATTGCCAATAAATAGATATAAAGATGTAGTATCATCATACTTCAAAATAGCTTAAATTGGAATCGGGTTAAGGCTTTGACATTGCATAAAAGGCACAACTATATGGATTTCTCTTAGATGTAGACTTTGTTATGTTTTCAATATAGTACTTTTAAAATTTTATCTTTAACACTAAATGAAATATATAATTTCATTCAACTATTACTTTTCTATTTTTATAATTCATGATTTGTATATTTTTACCCTCCACTCAACTCTCTACATGTTTAGGCTTGGGTTCCAATATTTCACCATGGACAAGGTTCACTTCTAGCATAGTTGCATTCACCATCATTACCTTCCATCGCTTATTATTGCTGACCAAGCATCCTAAGTTGACTAAATATGATTATTATTTTAGGATTAGTCTCTAAATCCTAGAGTAGGAATATTAGCTTTCATTGGTATTAACAGTTCTTTTTAAATCACTTAAATTAAGCTAGGTTAATCCATATATTATAAAATTCAATTTATGTTTTATTTTGACTTTACAAAGTGTTAAGTAGACTATCATAGGTCGATACCAATGAAATTTAAAGCATATAGGGACTAAATAAAATACATCTAACACGATCATCTAGTATTTTTGACATTGGCATCAATGCCACCAAACATATGCCATTGGACAATGTTGATACCTATCATAAACCAACAACAAGGCCCTATTGAACAAAAATGAGACCCATATGTTGATCAATATTGATGCTCATTGATGTCTGAGATTGTTGTGATGCAAGTCGGTCAATTACTTAATTATACATGTCAATTAAGTAATATACAAATTATAAGTCCGCATATCAATCCCATGATGAAAGTTGTAAGACTATTCTATCAAGCAAAGTTCTAATTTACTAAACCTTTGAATCAAGTTTGAAGTATCCAATGAAAAAATATTAAAAGTTCTAAAATTCTAAAAGGCATAAACTAAACTAAGTTTTATAAGTGTTTTTAGGGTTGAAAGGCTCCTTCTCTTATGACAAATGTCTAGTGATTTCTCTATATTTTTCCTACGAAATGTCAAGTTATTGTTGACAACTAGGGTCACAATCCTTCTTAGCTTATGTTTAGGTCGTAATAAGAGTTAGAAACTATATTACATTTAAGTGGGACTTAAAAAATTACATCATTTCTTAAGATTTTTTGGATCCTCCATCTAGTTTATGATTTCCTAATGACAATATATCTATTTTACAAGGCTATTGTGTGTTAAACTATTGTAATTCTAGGAGGTGGTTAGAAGTTTTAAATGATAGAAGGCTATATAGGTGAGGTACATACTAGACTATATGGACCTATCTAGTTTGAATCAAAATAAAATGTGAAATTAAGCACACTGGATAGTATTGACCCTTATTTGGACAAATCCTTCATTTTCATCATCGTCAAATCTACAGTGGTGTGCTCAGTCATTTGTCAAACTTACTTCATCCAATAATAGCCTTTTGGATTTTAAAAAGTGAGGAAAAGATATTATTAAGTTCATCTACCATGCTGCCAGCTTGAGATAATCTTATATTACAATATATTACATTAGGCCGAGCATGTAATTAGAATTTGCTCAAGATCTCCTTTAAATTCATTATATTATTTAAATTTTATTTTACAGAGGCACTAATTCAAAAAATTATAACAATATAGCTAGGTTATCATCTAATATTCATATAAATATATCAAATTACTTACATTCAAAAATTTTCTATATAATAATCATAATACTTCAATAAATCTGATAAAATATATCTGGACCATTATTACAAAAGAGTACAATACAAATAACTTGACGACATCCCTTTTAGCATGAATACTGTCCACACTCCACATAAAATTCAACCAACTCTTGTTTATAATCTCAAAAGAATTTTTGCCATTTCTTTTTCTTCCATAAATGGCAATTATTCTTATAAATTCAAATTCAAGATAGGATATTTCTATGCTTACAAAATTTTATGCATAATTCTCACTTTTTTAGCCAGGCTTAAAGAGGAGTTACACGAATAAAATCATAATGAAAAACAAGTTAAATTCCAAATTCAAGAAGATCTAAATTTGAACATCACTATTCTCTGTCTTAGATAAGACAATAATTTAGGGAAGAGTTGCACCACTCTCATCTCTTTTGAATCAAAGCATGAACAATGAAGGAGTCACACTTACAT